GACTGAGACATGGAGCGATCTAAAAACAGCAGCAGACTCCAGATGGCACGATAAGATTACAGAGGTGAACTTTCAGAATAAAGGTCGATCAAAGCTGGAGCAGCTCTATATTTGAAACTAGTTCTTGAAATCTCATTTGCATGAATGCATTTTTTAATTTAAATGTTCTTTTCCACCTGATATTTCCATTTATAAATAAAAGATTTCTGCATTTTTATGGACGGAGTTCCTGAACTTTGAGCTTCAGAGACTGCAGCGGTGGTGTAGTTTAAATTTTGTTTAATTTATTGCTGGTCATCAGATCCATCGGGCGACGGCGACCATCATTGAACCAACGGGGGAGTCTGACAACCCACTGAGGTTCACGTCTGGCCTGGTGGTGGCGTTAGACATTGATGCAACGCTGGAGCACGTCCAGGACCCCCAGAACACGGTGAAAGTTCAGGTCAGTTTGATGTGACGCCAGAAAGAAATCACTTCATCTACTTGAATTCCCCCAAAACTGCTGTGAAGTGCCAAAACAACAGGTGGTGATCTGACTATAGAAGTGTTGGCCTGCAAGCAGCGAACAGTCTGTCAGCAATAAGATTATTTAACAGTGACAGGAGTCATTCAGATGAATTGTTCTGATTGTTGATTTTGAGGCATTTGTCCTTGTTATTCAAATTATTTTTAATATTTCTTTTCTCGACCTCGTTGTCGATCTCTGTCTTGACATGTAAGTGTTTGTGATTAGTGTTTAAAGACTATAGATTGTGTGGGTCAGCTGTAAACATGTTGGATTAATAAATTAATCCGAATCAAGGCGCACACCTTTGACACTGCAAAACAAAAATCTTTCTCTAAAGTGTCAGTCTGTCCTAAAACACTGTGTGTGGATAAAAGACCAAAACACACAAAGTTTTGAGCGTGTAGGTTTTAAGCTTTAAGGTATTTAACGAAAATATTGCGTTACCTGTCTAAAACAATGGCCACGGTCTTCCATTCATCCACGAATTAATTGCTCTCACACTGCGGGTATATTCTTGTGCTTCCAGCAGTTGTGGTTAGACATGCTTTTGTTTCCCCACTGATGTAAACAAGGCCTCACCTTTATTGGCACAAAGTGTTTTAACATCAGGCTCGGCTTACTTACAAACCTACCAGCGAGTGCAGATCAAACCAGGCTGAGCCGGTTATCATCCAGCCTTATAAGCACCGATTGGTTTGTATTTTACACCCAACATGAATGTTTACTACTCGCTGCCTCTGCAGGTTCTGTATCCAGACGGCCAGAGTCACGTGATCCATCCTAAACCTGGAGACTTCAGAAAGCCCGGACCCCACAGACAC